GGAAAAAATTCAAGCAATTATTTGCCGGAAAACTTGGCCACGGTCTTTCGTCCTAGAAACCCCAAAGCTTGACCATAGCCCTAAACCGCGAACTCTGAACCCCAAAACCCAAACCCAAACCGTAAACCGCAAGACCTAATCGGACGAATCAACCCTGAACACCCGAAGCCGTAAAGCACCCTGAACTACCCCAAACCCTGATGCTTCACTCTCAGGACCCGGAGCAGTTTCGAGGGAAAATATTCATGCATTTTTTTCCTCGAAAACTCGGGCCCGCTGCCCTAAACCTAAAGATTGGAACCGTTATCCCTAAACCGTGAACCCTAAACCCTCAACCCCGAGGCTAGACCCCAACCCCATGACCGTAAACCCTGATCCCCAACCCCAAAACGCGAACACTTGCGAGAAAGTCGAAGATGCAAGGTTGAAACCCGATCCGAAGCCAGAGAAGTCACAAGTGATTTCATGCATTTTTGCTGAGAGGTGTTGCAAACTCGCTGGTTAGAGAAGTCACAGGTGACACCCGACAGAAGTCACAAGCGACTCGCCTCTCGAGAAGTCACAGGTGACACCCGACAGAAGTCACAAGTGACCCGCCTATCACCTGACCTGTCCAAAGCCTTGAACCACGACTGCACCGGCTGAGTAAGGATATCGGCCCATGTGTCCGCGACCTTGTGATCCATCGCAGCTAGCGCCACCTCAAGGCATCCGAGCTTGTGCAATCCCACCTGTTGCCCTACCGCTCGCCTAAGCCACTTAACCCGACTGGGGCGGCATACCCTGTGCTTGGTGGCCCCACATCAAGGAAGAGCTGATACTTCCTCGGAACAACCGGATGCGACAGGATTCTTTGGCGAGCTTAAGGCTATCCATTTTGGCTTTGTGGCGTTTACCCTTCTGCAGTCGTCCAGTCTGGACCCTGACGCGCCTGAACCTACCTAAACCACAATCAACTCCCAAATCTCGCATGCTTTGAAAAATTTTGGGATCTCCGTCGGTTGTGATCTGCTCCAATGCTTTTCTGGCCTCCTTGGTACTCGCTAGGAAACCAGTCTTTTCCCCAGAGAGTTTAAGACCACTTTGCTCCAAAAGGGTGGCCAGCTGTCGAAAACCGGAAAGCGCTTGTTGGGCAACAAGAATGGGCGAGGAACTTTCATAGTCAGTGCCAATATCATCGACCCAAGTATCTAAGCCTTTGAGCCCTGGGCTAGAGCTTGCTTGCTGCAGGATGGGCTTGAGGAATACCCGGGCCGTGACAGTGGCAAAAGGGCAGCCTGCCAGGATCCCCCGCTGCGGAGTGATGGACTCACTCATGATGTCCTCACTGACAATGTGTCGGGCTCCCTTGTAGGTTTGAAGTGTTAGGGCCGCCACAATTGGCGGGAAGTTGGCATCCAAAAGTCTTTGCTCCAAGACCTCCAATTCAACTCGATCATAGAAGGTCTCAAGGTCTAGCAGCACACAAACCATGTGGCGCTGCCGTGCCTACTGACTTCGCCTTTCAAAAGACGGTGGATTGCCACCTGCAAGCAGGTGTTGCCCGGAGTTGCACGGTCCCTCTGCGTGTTTAGCTTGGTAGCCTCCATCCACCTTTGCACTTCCCCTCGCCTCGTGAAGCGCCAAATGCGATACGTCACTGATGTCAATGTAATTGGCCTTTCAATGTGCTCTTTCTTGGGGATCATGCAAACCTGATTTTGCGTCCAATGCAGTGGGGCTTGAACTAAGGTTTCTGCTTGGTTCAACACCGCGGCAAGTGAATCGTGAGCCTGGCTGGGCAAGCTGCGCATGGCCGCGTATGTTAGGCCATCTAAGCCTCCGGCTTTATCAGCAACTTTATGGATCACTGATGAGATCTGCGAGCCTGTGATGGGTTGAAGCTGGCAACTCCTAGCCTTATAATCCAGAGTCTCAGTCAGGCATTGACAAACTTCGACTTCGCCCCAGATTTCGAGCCACTGGTTCCTCCTAAGTTTTGCTCTCTCAGCAACCGGCTGGTCGACGAAAGGACGGCTGTGCACACACTCAGCTTTTGACAAAGCTCTGAAGAGAGGCCACATGCCTTTTATCGATCCAGCCTTCAACCACGAACGAAAGTCTCGCAAACTGTTGCTGCTCTGAGTTCTTTGCGCCTCAGCCTCACGCACCTGTGCTTGGATGGCAAGCTGCTGCAGCCCTTGGGCCTGTTTTGCATGAAATGCATCGCAAACTTGCGCGCAAAAGTGCTTGGCCTCCGAACTCCAATCCCCCGTGGTAAGAAAGGCATCCGCGTCCTGTGCATTGCCACGGGTACTCTGCCACAAATCGCCTCTCAATCCCGCCTGCAATCTAGTGATGCCTTTGCGCATGCGGCCCCACCAACCTGCCGCAGTGTTCTGGCTTTGCTTCATCTCTCTAGTGTCCGACAATCTGCCCCAAATAGCTCGGACACGCTGGCCTCTGCCGAGCTCGGACCCCCTGCAAGATTCCATGGCCTTTGCCCACTTTGCCAGGCTAACAGAGACAGGATCGTCACCAATATGGTTCATGAGCTCAGCACTAGAAACTTCCACCGTCGGCCATGCTTTGCTCGAAGCATCACCTGTGAGCTTTGGGAATTGTTGCAGTCGCCACTGCGGGTCCACGAGTCCTGCTTGCTTGATGGTCAGGAGCAGTGCTCCATGCGGGCGCCACGGTACACACCACTCAACCTCCAAACTAACATAGGCTTCCAAAGCCCGGCTAACTATAACATAGTCAAGCTCAGCACCGACTCCTTGCATGCATGTGATCTCGCCTGTTGCAACCAGTCTGCCTCTCATGACCTGGACCATGCTATGTTCAAGGAGGTCTTCCGGGCTACAGTTGAAGTCACCACCCACAACCCAGGGCTCAGACAGCGATCTCACATACCACACGAGGTTTGCGAGGATCTCAGCATTTCTGGGTCCGGTGGGCCCCTCTGTGTCTTTCAAATACAGCACGATTAGCGTGTAATCTAGGCCCCCTGCACGCAACCCAATAGCCTCGAAACCGGCTCCCTCGTGAAGGAACCTGTGCTTGTGCCACGCTCCTCTATGCCTTCTGGCAACCCAAACCAAACCCCCCAGCCTAAAACCTTTCTCCCCCCGATGCGCCGGCAACCCAAAAGTGTGCCAGCACAGAGCTTGCAAGGTTCCGCGCCTGGCATGCAGTTGTTCATCATCCAGATGTGTTTCCTGGACACCTACCGCGGCACAGCCACATGAGCCGAGCCAGTCCAAGGCTGCTTGATTGAGTGACGTCGCATTTGCAAAACCAACCTTCAGATCTGGCCTGTCTGCCCTGGTGGGAGCACTGGCAGCCGCCTCATTGTGTCGCAGCATTCGCAGCTCGGGGCCTACCTTCAGAGCATTGCCACTGCACTGCCCACATTGAGGATTGGGCCAGTCTTCACTCAAAATTTCCGCATCGCGCTTAGCTGACTGTGCATATGGATAGGGTAAGGTGTTGACCTCGGGAGGAAGGTCAAAAGAGTGCTGCGGGACATGGTCACTAACAGGTTTGTTACTCGCAACACTCGGGCATTGCAAAACTTGTTTCACCAAAATTTCAGCTCTGCGCCAACCCGCCGTTTCACCCTCCAGCGCAATCATGATCTCCCAACCTACCTGGTAACCGAGAGTAGCTTCAGGGAAGATGGTTTCAATCTTTTCAGCTGCTGCCAACAAGGACGAGGCCAGCGGTGCAGGTACAGATTGGCAATCGCCTGCTTTTTGGATCAGGTCCCTCAGGGTTCCCCAATCAACTCCATCCGGCTGCATGCTGCCTTCACTCGGGTGTGCCTTGTATGCGTCACCCGGATTAGCCTGCACATGATGTTCATCATCATGCACATGAAAAAACTTTGGCTGCGACCTGATCGGAATAAAAGGCTTTGCCGCATCTCGCATCCTGGCAACACGCTTCGGCAATTGCCAGGGTGCCCCCTTTGCATCGCCAGTGGTATCGGCTTCACTGGCCTCTGTAACGGCCTCGCGATGCCGATCAAGGCTCCCCGCCTCAAAATCCCACGATGCACGCCCCTGTGTCATATCTTGATGTAGAGCTCCCCACTCCGACAATGAGACCCCGGCCGCTAAACCTCTCGCAACCTGAGGCCAGCTTTCCACACCTGGCTCCCCACCAGGAGTACTAAAACTAGTGATCGCACGGAAGACCTGAAAACGCTGCTCCATGACTTGGTCAACACCTTGGCACAAAGTTTGCAAAACACCTGTGACCACATGAACCAAGAGAAGCAAAGCAATGCTAGAATCTTCATGCTGGGATTGCGCCTTCCAAAATGGTTGACGTGGCCAAGCGGAGCCCGACCCTGTAGCGGGTGAACATGCACCGGTCAGACCACTGCTGCTCACTCTCATGGGCCCGTGACCCCGCTGGCCAAAGCCCTATCCCTGATTCGCACCATCCTTGGCACGCGGGGATCGGCTACGATCTTTGTGCCCTGCCTGATCTACTTTCGGGGCCCCACCTGCGTCGGGCATTGCATGATCAGGCGGACGTTGCTGTTGCACAGACATGGGTGGCTGCACTTGAGCAGCAGTGCTAGCCAGGGCTGGCGCAGCCGCCAGCTGGGCTCGGACACGTTGCTCGTCTTCTGCGTCAAGTTGCACCCCTGCTCTAGACACAGCTTGAACAAACGCTTCGAAGAGTTTGTGTCTTCCGCTGGGGGCTCAACCTTGTTGTCAGACTCGCTCAGCTTCGCTTGCAACTGCTTTTGCAACTCCTCAACTTCAACTGTTCCGTCAAGGTCTGCATGCTACACAAAAGCTCCTCATAGGTTTGCTTTGCCCGGTCGATGCGGGCCTGGAGCGACACCGATTGCTGCACGAGTTCTCGCAATGAGCTGGTCTCAGCTTTGAAGCGTCTGTTCAATTCTGACACAGCCTGCCCACATGTGATCTCCTGCTTCGGCTCTTGCAGGAGCCTCTGTATGCTCTCTGGCAAGGACGACAGATGCTGCTTGCAGACCTCTTTTAAATCAGGCTCAGGCTGTGGCGTCGGTTTGCAAAGCATGCCATGCACGTTCAACGTCTCTTGCAACTTACTGTCAAAGGAACCCCACTGCACCTTCAGCGCTTCAAGCACCTCTGCAGGCCATGCTTTGGTGTCCAGGCCTGGAGGGGGCTGGACTTTGGGCCTCCTAGCCTTGGGTGCTCTCCAGCGCGCGCTTTCCCACACACTGGGCCAGTGACTCTTCTGTGGGGTGGAGGTGTGTTGCATTCTCTGCAGTGTGTATGCTTGCTGCAACGGTCCGTCCACTGCCAGCTTTGGCATGCTTTGTTACAGCAGACCACATACGCACGTGTCATGTCTGCTCCACACCACTTGTGTCACGGATGGGTAAGGTTCGGTAGTGCTGCAAAGGGAGGCCACGCAAACAAGTGGAAATCGAGTCCAAGCAAAATGCACAATTCAAGCAAAATTGGTTGGCAAGAAAGTCACGATCGCTATGGCTCGGCTACTGCAGCAATGTACCTGTGTACAAGGCTCTTCAGCTCGCAGGTACAAGCTGGGACTGCACGTTAGCTACCCCCCACCCTAGCACGCTGATGTGTGATCAGAGCCGAAAACTTGAGCCGAGGGTTGTTCGAACCCAGCTTCAACCCAAGCTGCGGCGGACCAGCCTCCCTCATTTTGATGTCATTATCTATGTTACTGTTCATTTATTTTCAAGTGAGCATGCCAATGACATGTCTTTGATATCAGGGTGAGAGAAAATTTGCACAAAACTTGCCCAAAGCTACCAGAACAAAACAGCAGTTTCCGAAGGCTTTTCCATAGAAGACATAAATAGTTTGTTTATGCATTGTTTATGCAGGGATTATGCTCTTGCAGCTTTCAGATGCTAAAAGCTATGGCTCGAAAAATTGAAGCTCCACTGCAACTGAACCGTTGCCACTTTTTCGGCAATACTGCGTTGCAGTCCGGCTCCTGTTGACCCCGGAAAGAGCATCACGGTCACTTAGAAAACAAAAACAAACCAGATGGACAACTGGAAGCTTCAAGAGTTTTTTGTGGAAGTTTTTGCAAGTTTTTTGCAGTTTTTGGAAGTTTTTTGTATTTTTTCGAATTTTTTCGCTTTGAGTTTCTCTGAGTGACATGTGGCTTCATGAATCCAGCCCCAGTCGGAGCTTAAATCCTTGTCTCGTGCAAATTAGAGGCTGAGAGGCAAGCTTTTGACTTCCACGCTAGACCCAAAACTTCTAAGGCAATTTGCAGGCCGAAGGTTACAAGCCTTGGACTCGCATCTTAAACCAAAAATCTTAGTTCCAGGCCGGCTTTCTTTTTTAGGGTTTTGGTGTTTATGTTGATTTGCAGGCTCAGGGTGTACAGGCCTTAAGACCATACACCGATGACCACAGCACGAATACGAGCCACCGGCACGGAATGCTCTTTAAACACTTCAGCGAAGTGAGCAAAGTGAGCGTCGTCACCACTTAGGGCAGGTCGACTCTTTGCTTCACGGCGATTCTTGCAAAAGAACTTTGTTGCAAGTGGCCGGTTTAAAAGCACAGAGTCTGCTGAAATGTTTTGGTTCATAACAAAGGATAAGATTCGGATCTGCATTTGGTGTTTTCTTTTCATTAGTGCTGAGGTATTTCTTCAGGAATGATTTTGCATGTCTTGGAAATATATTGCGCATGATTTGGAAGTGGTTGGCATTCCGCTTCAAACTTGATTGTATGATTTGGTCAGAATTTGGCGACGGGCTGAGGGTTTTTGGGTTTACTGTGGCCACTTCGAGCTCCGGATAGTTGCTTGGGTTTTGCGAAATTGCATGAACAAGGTCAGCTCAATGTTTTCGAGCGGATCAATGATCGCTTTTCATGACGTTTTCAAGTTCAGTGGCCTTGACTTGGTTTAGATGCTTTATCAGTTGCAGCGTTTTGGTTCTTATAATTCAGACGACTTCAGATGTCCTGGGCCACACACGAACCAGCTGTGATTCTGAAGGCACTGTCGTTGTGGGAGGTTTTCCCCGTATCAGCGCCATGTACGCAACACAGCGTAAGCTAGAGGGTCAGAAATCACAGTGTCAGCTTGCAGCACCAGAACCTAAGTCAATCTCTCACTTTGCACGC